CAGGTGAACCGAACTGTTCAGGTGAACTGATCCACGTTAGGTGAACCGAACTGTTCAGGTGAAATGATTCACGTCAGGTGAACCGAACTGTTCAGGTGAACTGATCCACGTCAGGTGAACTGAACTGTTCAGGTGAACTGATCCACGTTAGGTAAAACGAACTGTTACGGTGAACTGATCCATGTTAGGTGAACCAAACTGTTCAGGTGAAATGATTCACGTCAGGTGAACCGAACTGTTCAGGTGAACTGATCCACGTCAGGTGAAACGAACTGTTCAGGTGAACTGATCCACGTCAGGTGAACTGATTCATGTTCAGGTGAACTGATCCATGTTAGGTTAACTGATCTACGTTAGGTGAACTGATTCATGTTCAGGTGAACTGATTCATGTTAGGTGAACCGGATTGTTTTATGTTCATGGTCAGCTGGTTCATGTCCAGGTGTGTAGGACTCTCTGAATCATTTCTCTGGTTTCCTCCTTCCAGAATCTCTGAACTCTCTCTCATCTCAGCTCCCGGTCTGATCTTCCTCCCAGGTTCTGCACCTCAGCGGACGTTTTGAGATCGTCTCCCTGGTCGGGACGCTCAACAGGGACGCCCACGTCCACATCAGCCTGTCGGATGCAGAAGGCAGGACGGTGGGAGGCCACGTCCTGGGGGACCTGGAGATTTTCACCACAGCTGAGGTGGTTATCGGCGAGGCGGCGGATCTGCACTTCAGCAGAGAGATGGACCAGCAGACAGGATTCCCAGAGCTGGTGGTTCAGACCCGCTCAGAGGTGACAGGATGAAGGTCAGCTCTCAGCAGATGGGTTTCAGTCTAAGGATCAATTCTTCTTTCAGTTCTTCTGTTTCCTGCCGGAGGGACTGGACCCGGTTCTGTTCAGGGTTCTATGATTCTGGATAAGTTCAGAATAAATAAAATAAAATAATGATTCTACTTCAGTCCAGTTTCTGCTCAGCTGTGAAACCCTCACTGAGGAAATCTGAAATAAAAACTTCACATCAGAAGCTTCTTCCTTTGTTGGTTCATGGATGAAAAGTTTCCAGATTTCTGGGAAAACTTGATCCCCAAACAGTTCGGATGCTTTGTTGTCTGCCAGCGGTAGAATCCTGCATGCAGCAACAGGGAGGGGAGGGGCCGGGTCGTTACGGCTGCAGGCCGCTCCGAGGCGCCGCATTAAAGCGCAGCTACAAAGCCTCGCCTCTGCAGCTTTGTGCTTCTGTTTTGTTGTCCTCACAGCGAGGAGGCTGGAGGCGTTGGTGGTCCGCCGCCAGCCCCCCGGGGGGGCGGTTTAAGGCGTCCAACCAAAGTAGCTCAGTTCTGAATGAAAGGGGAGGCAGCGGCTGATGTTCCTGATCTGAGATGAAGGATGTTCTTTAAACGGCGTGGCGTTAACGGAGCCCTGGTCATTAGCTGCTCCCCGGCGTTTCACATGAGAAGATGTTTGCTTCTCTGTGGGCGTCGGCTTCTGGGGCCATGAATCCATTTTACTTTGAGGCTTTAATCTGTGACCAGAGAACAAACTGCAGCTCATCTTCATCAGATGTTTGTCTCCATCAGAGGGATTCCTTCGACCTTTGACCTGCGCTCGCTCCCGCTTTCTGCTGGTTCCTTGGAGCTGCTGGGGCTGAAGCTTCAGGACGACGGGCCGCCGTCTGAGACGTTCTCCTCTCTGTAGGTCGATGGACTCCAGATGAGCGTAGGATGACCATGATCCTTCTGGAAGAAAACCCTTTTTTAACGCTAAACGACTCAAGTCTGTTTAAATCAGTTAAACTTATTGGATGTTTTTAGGAGTGATGCAGGGGAACCCCGAACAGAAGGTTCCTCTGAGGGTTCTCCTGCAGCTCAGCTGCTGAGGACGCTGCCGCCTCTGTATGAATAATGAGTGGGATGAAGCCGCCCCCACCTACCCGCCCTGCCCAGGTCATTTGTCAGTCTGATCAGGCGGCTGCAGCTCTTCCAGACTAATGACAAGCGGCTCCGTTTGAAGGAACCAGCAGGAGGCCGATAAAACCAGAGCCGCACACAGACTGGTCCCTTTTCCCTCCAGCCGACCTTCACACAACAATGCATACAATTAGGAAAGTTTGGCCTCAGACGGGCGAGTGCAGCCAGGCTCCTTAAAGAGGAGAGATGTGAGGACAGCAGCAGGGAGACGGGTCAATTAGACATCAAAGTGCTGCTCTTTAACGGGCAGAAAGTTTCCCGAGGATGAGGAGCTGAAATCAGCCTTTAAAGAGAGAAGAAACATGGAAAAGTTTGAGCAGAAGGAAGCTGCTGATGGGAGCAGGAGCTCCTGCTGCTTTCCTCCAGTCTTCAGCTCCAGGTATCAAACTGAACTCCTAAAAGTTCCTCTTTCAGAACCATTAGAACTCTTCATTATTTAGAATTTAAACAGCATTCAAGGACAATAATTTACAGTCTTTACAGTTTTAAATTTTGTCATCACAAATTCTGTGATGAATTGTGATCTCACCTTCATCAATAACAAATTTAACGCAAAAATTCACCTCAAATGGCAGCTCTATCTAACATAATCCAAGAAATTAGTTTGAAGCAAACTGACCAATAGAGGGCGCTATGGCCCCGCCCCACCCACCCAATGACCCTGATTAAGTCAGAAAAGATACATACATTTTTTATGATAAAATTTTAAATTAACTTTTAAAATGTGTCGAAATATATTAATATGTATTTCTTAGATGTGCAAGATACATATTTAATCTTTAAAGTTGTAGGGAAATCATATTTAAATGTCAAATCATTCTGGTTTAAATATGTATATAAATTTACTCTTTATCAGATGATATTGTCCAAAAAATTAGAAAATTTCTAGTTAAAAAAAAAAAATCCTGTCTTAAAATCTGTGTTTTTTTCCATTATCTTCTGCAGGCCACTTAGTTCTACGTCAGCCTGTACATCTAAATTCGGCCAATCATCTATCAACGGTCATCTGTCAATCAAATGTTTTCGGTCATAGCATCTCGATTCATGTGTCGCAGCTAATATACGCAACGGTTGAAATCAGAAATCAGAATCATCCCAGTGATCATCGGGAACCTGCTAGCACTAAGTTGCTAACTGGTTAGCGAGATGCTTCCGACAAACCGGCCACAACCAAACATGCTTACAAACTTTCCGCCACAACAATCCCGCCCCCTTGATAATCGACCAATCACATTCACTTTATTCACTCATGTAAAGTCGGGCACCACTAAGGAGAATTTGGAAATGCAACGGATGGAACAGCTGCTTCCCTACGACTTTAATGACTAGTAAAACATCATATAATTTTTAGTCCGATTGGTGACGTATTTTTAATTCCATTCTATTCAATTTATTTCTATAGCTCCAATTCACATCATGTCATCTCAGGTCACTTTCCAGTTCAACCAGATCATCCAGTCAGATTGATTCAAAGTTTTCTAGCTAAGGAAAACCAGCTGATTGCATCGACTCATTGACTCTTCAGCAATC